GTCGTCGACCGTCATGAGCACTTGCTACATCGCGCCTTATCTACTTTATCTAGGTAATCTGACTTGACCGGCCGCATCTACGACCAACGTTAAGATTCTTCTAAACAACACCGCATAGTCTTCTAAACCACACATGGATACTAGACACTTTAAGCAAGCTCAAGTTTGTGGTTCAAATCCTTATTACATGACCAAGTCAAACTTATTTCAGAGTTCTTAGAGTTCTCTTTGTAGCTCTCACGGCTACAAAGTGTGGTGCTTCCTGTGTTTGTCATGGAAGCAAGATCTGTATTACTCAACCCTTTGATGTAGCAATATTCTGCGTAATGGCAGTCGTGCACTGGGTGTACCCTTTTTGTGTTAATTTGCGACTACGTCCCTTGAAGTAACATCTTTACGCCGGGGTGAACGCGTTAGTCACAGCTGAAAGGGATTTATGGAGCACCGTTCTGGGGCAGGTACCATTCAATTTGAAGGAAGCGCAACCGTCACTTTCATCAACTATAATAATAATGATTAAATCAGAAAATAAAACTTATAAAGACTGAATTATGCTCAAAGTATGTAATCAAAATGTTTGTTATAATTAGCAAGCTATCTAGAGACGAGAACTGCTATTATTAACAAATTAACATTGCTGTTGTTAACAAATTTTATTTGTTGTACTATAACCAACAAATTAACTTTGCTTTCACGCATCCAAGATTTTATCAGGAGCGGCATTAAGCCCTGAGTAGAGCGGTAACAGTGTTACTGCGAGCGTTTTAGTTTTATTGTAGTGTAGTTGATGGCGAGTAGTGTGCACAAAGTTAATACAGAGGGCAATGGCCGCGGGCGGATACGTCCTACACCCTCACTCGGCCAACTCGATGGCCCGCACAACACAACGTGTGCCCACAAAGTCTATGCCTACGGGTAGGGTACTCAACAGCTACTCATTAAATGGAATGATTGCCCACTGTGCACCATCTGACAAGATTCGTGTAGTACCTACATAATAAATTATCTTTTGAGAACAACCGAAAAAAACAGCTATATACTGCGGCTAAATTATGAAGACCAAAATTACTTCGTAATAATAAAATATACACATAATAAGTAAAATTAAAATGTCAGTCGTGAAGATTGTAGTTCTATAAGAGACTGTTTTTTCTTACCTCTGCCCCCTAAACGCCCGCTCCCCTACCACCACTCCCCCTCCCATTTTCACCGCAAACCACATTACGTCATCCCAAATTCCTTTGAAAAATAAATTGAATGAACAAAGAAGAATAAGCGTTTAAATATAACAAGTATCAACGAGATACACTTGCTCTTTAAATAGTAACAGCACAAAAGTATAAAAAAATACTAAGTTTTCTCGAAGTACCTAGGTGATACTACTGAGTTATCGTAATATTGTAATTATATTGCTGAGTTGATAACCTAAAATATTTAAATGTTGATGATATAAGAACCACCGAGATACTTCTGAAGGGCAAAACGACTGATCGATATATCATCAAGGCGATATAACAGAGGTACCTATCAGTACACTTGCACTTAACACCGTATTCAAACCACGCCCGTAATTAACACATATTAATTACTCATTCTTCCTTGAAATGTTAATGAGAAGAGCTTTGTTGCTTATGTATTATTTGCGTAATGTTATACAGCAGATCACCGGGCGGTGAAGACAGTAGTTATGCTCAATGGACCGCATTGTATAACCGTTGTAGGAAAGTCGTTGTTAGGACTTGTTAGCTCGACATCGATCACGTAGTCCTCGTTTAGTTAACGCATCCCGCGCATTCCGATATATGAAATAATGTATCTATATGATACATAAGAATCAACATTTGGTAACAAGTATGCTGACGCTATGTATACAGTAGGTACTCAAAATTAGTGCGTCTAACTATTGATTCTTAAAATTCTCATCCAGCGTGCTGATTTTAATTCAAATCGGAATCGAACCGATTGGGTAATCTCGAAATCAGATGAGTTTCCGAACGAGAAGATGAACCTGATTCCTACTATATCTTTCTAATCTGTGAGTGAAATCAACTATTGTTCCAATTTGAAATGTCAAGTTTCCGATCGGCCAGTTGTGAATCGCAATTATGCGCCTCGACTCGGAAGAGACGCAGTTTCCGATCGGGAGAGGCAATCAAAATCAAGCTGCAGGAACAGAGTATTAGGCATATGGAAATACAACTATACCTTCCTTTTATTGAACTTGTTTCTTTCCATGTACCTATGTAGTAACTTTTTAATATTTGTCGAGAGACGGTAAATTTCAATGTTAATATTATATCAACTCTCATCCCTTGTACCATTGTTAAAAGTACAAAAAAAGACATTATTGAGACCAAGGGAACGAAGTATACAAATATTTAAAGTTGAGCCGTATTAAAGTTATTTGCACTACGCATGTTTAAAATACATCATAATCACGGCCATTGACGGCGAAGCTGCTGGGCCAACACCAATAGTAAACTAACCTTTAAGTTGTAAATAAATTATCGACATACTACAAATAAACTCAGACAACAAGCTAGTATGTTAGTTCCAGGTACCTACCTCGCACATAAAATGGTACGCAATAATTGCTAGGTAGGAAAACTTTCCATAGATATATTTTATTAACAGTCCTTTGTTATAGATATGTATATAAAGACTAGTATAACTAACTAGAGAATTCAAATTTCAAATAATAACTTATTAAGGATAGTTTTCAATTAACAAAAAGTACTCCTGTACTTTAATCAGTCAATGATTATTATTTTGATTGATGATGAAAATTTCATAAACCATATCTTAAAGGGGGCTGCTTTTTGGTTCTGAATCAAAATTCTATTGTCTATGGTACCCACCACTGAGCTAAAAATTTCATGAAAGTTATATATATTCATGAACTATAATGCGTTTCAAAAAAAGAACGTCGAATTTTTGCTAATTACAATATCTATTAAGACACTACTTGACGCTACTGGCTCATGATTGGTTAAATTGGCGTAAGAATCTGGCAACCGAGCAATAAAAAATATTGATTAAAATACCTACAAGCAGTACTGAGACAGTTCTATTCTCTCTTTGGTTTTTTTATTTAGTAGCGTTTGTTTGGTTTTTGTCAAATATATGAAGAGGATGGATGGTGGAAAATTTATCTACCTGATTAAATTTTTTTTTTTAATTGCATTTATTGTCATGGATTGTTAGCAAAATAAACATTAAATATTGGTTCTGTTTCATTATTTTATTTACTTGTACAAAAAGTATTGTATGCAATCATAATATAATTAGGTCTTTGAGGGTCGTATTCCAGAACTCTACTCAATGCTCAAGTCAGGATTTGAGTATGGTTTAAAGCACTTGATATCATACTCAAGTCCCTGCCATTAGGGTCATATTTCCAGTGCTTGTGTTGCCAGCGCAATCCTGACATGAGCATTGAATAGAGTTCTAGAATACGATATCTAATCTAATCTCATATCTACGAGGTTTTACCGAGTGACCTAAGTAAATACTCATGGTCCTCGACTTTAAAAATCCTACTTTAAAAGTCATGGGTATATCTGTAACTTTTTCATTGAAAATTATGCACTTTTTCTTTGAAGTGGAATAAAAATGAAATGCAAGTACTTAGTAATTTATTATAGGCATTTGTGTGGACAAAAAAATATTTTAGTGTCTTTTTTTAATAAAAGACATCTAACTTGCCTGCCAGTTCCCATCACAAATGTAAAAATAGACAAAAAGTATTTTTTTATTATGAACCTACAAAAGTTAAAACAACATGACTTACACAATTCTCTTAAAATAGATATATTCGTGTATACAGACAAAAAATTTGAAATATTAAGTCCATCAAGATACACAGAGACAATCAAACCTATTTTTAAGTAAAAAACAGGTCTTACTATAGTCTAAGTAAAATAAAAACACAGAAAATCATAAAAAATATTCGAAAACATTAAATCTATGAAGATAAGGCACAGAAACAACCAAAACTATTTTTTAAAATACCAATAAACAAAGTTAAATAACACAGAATTTCAATTTTATTTATGAAATTAACTTAGAGTGTTGTTAGCCTTTTCCTAAAATTAAAATCAAGATTTCATTATGGCATTTCTTCAAATATAGCAAAATTAATAAACACATAATTCATTTTATTTGGGACAGCTTTGGTAGACACAGATTGTTTTACAATTATATTAATAAGTAAATAAAAATTAAGTTTCGTGACAAATGTTTCGAGATAGAGATAATTTGTTCATACCTTTGTTCCAGATAGGAATATATTGAATAAATACCAACTAATAAATGCTGAAATTATTACTGAAAATGTAGCTACATGTCTATTGCATTGGACATTTTTATACGTTGGCAAGAGTCTTGTCGGAATTCGTGATTATAGCCGTAATACGTATGTACATTGTCATTTTTCAGACGGAAGGTGACAAAATATACAAAAAAATAGGTAGGTTTATCTACATTTTGCAATGAACTGCATAGCAAAACATTATGGACATAGTTAGGCACTTTCGACTAAGGAAAACAAAGAAATGTCGAACAAAAAGGGATACATACAGTATTTTAAAACAAAATGTGGTTAATAATGAGAACCATGCAAAAAATACCAGGACCATAGGTAAAGACGTTTCTGTACAAGAATCTAATGAATAAGTGTAGGTAGGTAGGTACGTATATCATTCGCATGAAAGCAAATTCGCGACAGCCCGGTCTTATCCCTGCAGAACGCTTGAATAATCCCGTTTTATGAATAAAACCCTTCATATAAATTGGTCATTTTACTTGTAGACTACCAAATATTGAAAATTATATACGAGTTTGGAACATAATAGCACAGCCAATGTTAAAATAAAAAGATGGTACTTTAAAGTAAAAATTGATACGTTGAACCAAAAAGTGTACAGAATAAACACGCCAGGCTACGAATTAGTTGATAACAAATGCAAAAGTATGGAATTGAATTAATTTCTAGCACATACCTCGTACTTGATGCCAGCTAGACGAAGCCAGGTTTCAACTTTCAAGCAGTACGGTGAAGTCGAAGGCAACAAAGGCGTTCGTGAAAATTGATACAAGTACACGACGTCTTTCTCGAAATTTGCCTTGTGAACAGTAGGTTTTGGCGGCGTCGGTTCTGACTTTTTGCCCTCGGCTTTCTCTTCAGCTTTTTCTCCAGACGCCGGTGGCTCTTCCTTGGTTTGACCATTGTCTACTGGTGCGTCCTCCTTCAGTTCTTTCTCCTTTTCTGTTTCCGGAACGTTGTTTGTTACTTCAGTAGCCATTTTTGACGCACAATATCACGCACAGTTTCAGTCACACAACGCCCGCAAGAAAAAGCTCTACAAAATTAGTTCACAGCCGTTAAGCCAGGGAGCGTTGCAAAGCTACAAAATATCTTGACGACACCGACACCGCTACACTGCACGCAGTCGAATGGGCAACTGGTTGCCAAGCAACGCGATTGAATTAGGGCCGTGACTACAAAATGGCGCCTATCCACGAGCTTTGTGATAAATATAGATACTATTTTTCATTTTCACTAACTACTAGCTACGAAATTAACACAAATATCTTAAAATAATTGACATTACATTTTAAAAACAATAAATGTTGATAGTTCATTGAAAAAATATGGTTTAAAAATATGATCATATCTTTACTTAAAACCGCGGCAATTTTAAGCCCTCGGAACTTTTTGCATCTGTTTTCATTAATAGATTTTCGAAAATTTGTAGCAACACTCGGCAATGGAACACGCTTCAATCTGAAAAAAATGCACCCTGCACTTTTATTGCATCGATCGTTAGGGTTAATTATGAGAATAAAATCTCTCTCAGATTATTGGTTAATTAAATGAAAAAAAAAACATGAAATTTGACATATTTTAATTAAACGAAAAAAATGGCAATCTAACAAATTAGTTGCTCGAAATGAGCTCCATTTTCTTGTATACACAAATTTAATCTTTTAACGAATTCATTTTGAGTAACTTTTAATAACTTGTTGTGATGAATTGTATTACAAATCATATTCTGGACCTCAGCCTTCAACTCGTTTACACTCGCATAGGATTTAAGGTAAATTTGATTTTTAACATATCCCCACAAAAAAATCTAAAGGGGTGTGTGTGTATGTGTGTGTGTGTGTGTGTGTGTGTGTGTGTGTGTGTGTGTGTGTGTGCGCGCGCGCGCGCGCGTGTGTGTGTGTGTGTGTGTGTGTGCGTGCGTGCGTGCGTTCGTGCGTGCGTGCGTGCATGCGAGCGTGCGTGAGTGCGTGCGTGTGTTTGCGTGTGCGTGAGTGGGCGTGCGTGTCCGTGCGTGTGAGTGCGTGTGCGTGAGTGTGCGTGCGTGTGCGTGCGTGTGAGAGCGCGTGTGTGCACGTGTGTGTGCGTGCGAGTGAGTGCGTGTGTGCGTGTGTATATACACGCTGGAATAATTCCAGAAGACTGCTAATCTCTATTCTGCAGATCGTAACTCTGAAAAAGGTCCAAATTTCGTCTTATATCGAGATGGCGCTGATCATTAGCTGTACGTAAATGGCTGTGGATATCAATCATTAATTCCTCTATTTAATTAAATGTACGATGTCAGTTCTATTTCTTGTATTTTTCAAATATTGATCTCGAGCTAAAATATTTTCGGAACTTTGACAAATATGAAATAATGTCAATAGATGGCATTGTGCGTTACAAACTAATTTATAAATTAACGCTTCCTAGTATGGGTAGATAGAGCTATATAATTAAAACAAAATAAAAGAAATGCATGGATGCGTGTCTGGGGGGGTTAGCAGCTGGGCTCCCAGCTGCTAACGATGCACCCTCGATACCAGGGCACCTCGGGGGAACTTTATGTCCTTCAGCCGGCAAGCAGGGCTCTGCTGGCTGTGACCTTTTAATTCCCTAGCTTCTCGTGAGACGTGTATGGAGAAAGAAGAGATAAATATTAACGCTTTAATTTCTTTCTTTAATTAAGAAACGATTGCTGAGATGGATAGTCCACCCAGCAATAACGACGTGACTTCGGTCACGGCTATGGATACGAACCAAGCGGGTCCTTCGGATTCCCTGGTGTCGGAATCCAGCGCTCAGCCGCGCATTAGGCTGAGCGGGTCTCACTGGAAGAGACTGCAGGACCTGATGAGAACAGGTATGAGCTACGCAGAAGCTCTGCCTCTATCTAAAAAGCCCTGGAGTGATCTTCCGGTCTCCAAACCACCTCCAAAACCAAAAGCGCAGAAGCGTGAACGGTCAGAGGAGGCGTCGCCACAGGAGCATGTCAGGAAGACTCCCAGGACCATGGCGCCAGCTGAAACCAGGAACAGACCTACTTTCAGTGAAATGGTGGGCTCCCTGCGCGTGGGTATCAGGCATTCGGAACCCATGTCCGAGGAGCAAATGGAGCTGTTCCTGGTCCGCACCATAGCGAATACTACATCGCATGGCAAGGGACCGAAGTTCCTGGGCCTCTCACACAAGCCTGACTCGATTCTTGTGACCTGCAAGGACCAAGCAAGTGCAGACTGGTTTGTGGGAAAGATCGGTAATTCAAAGCCGTGGCCGGAAGCACAGCTATCCTTTATTGAGGAGAGCGAGTTTCCGAAGCCCACCACCGCCACCACCTACGTTCAGAAAGGATGCGAGTGCAGATGGCCATCAGCCTGCGGGGGGTCCAAAACAGAGGCCTTCGCGCAGAAGTGCGGAAGGTTCTTAACACAAGGGAAGATGCGAACGAATGGTCGCGTTCGCTCTTGATGACCCATCTGTGGCACACGGAGATTCTCTCCGTGCTTCAAATTGCCGGGCACACCTTGGTTTTAAACAGGTCACGTTTAGGATCAAGGGGTGTCCGGAAAGTACGTTCAGTGGCGACACTGCGCGGGGTGTCTTGGTCTCGAAACCAGGGTCGGTTATAAGTCCGCTCGAGGAATCGGGGACGGGAGCCTCAGTGCAGATGTCTGCGCCTGGCCCGTCTTCCACGGACCAGGGGAAACGCGACGAGGCTGCCCCGTCAGCGACTTTGGGTGCATCGTCCCAGAAGAATCGCGGACGAGAGGCTGGGCACACTCGGACAGCACCCGCTGTCCCGGGTGTAGTGCAAACAGCTCAGCCATCAACAAGTGCCAGTACTGGAGCGGCTCGACCAAAAACTGCCACAGTAATGGCACTACATGACGGTCTGGGGGGTACACGACCTTGGTTTTCGGCACCGACCCCACGTGGCCGCAGTTCGGCACGTGGAGTGCAAGTGTGAGGCTGTGGAGTGGGGCTGCCAACCCGCAAGGCTCACGAGGACGGCCTCGTCCTCCTCGTAGCAGCCGAGGGCAGCAACGCGGCCGGGGCTTCAATCTCCGCTAGATGGCGCCCACGGGGGATAGGGTGAGGGTTCTCCAAGCAAACCTCCACCATGCCGTGGCTGCAACGGCTGTGGTGGAGTATTGCTTCGCGAAAGGCAACGTGGATGTTGCCCTCATTCAGGAACCCTGGGTTAACCACACGAACATAATGGGACTCAATGCCGCTGGTGAGTTCATTTACAACACCTGTGGAAGTAGACCCAAAGCCTGCATTGTTTATAACAAAATCATTAACTTAAGGCTGTTCCAGAGTTCTGTACTGATGACTTTGTAGCGGCATATGTCTTTCCCCGGAGTAGCACTCAGGCCAAGATAATCGTAAGCTCAGCCTATCTACCTGGAGAAAAGAACAATCCCACGGAACATCTGACACAACTGGCGGAATACGCCCGGAAACACAAAGCAGAACTTCTGGTGGGATGTGATGCCAACGCTCACCACACCGCCTGGGGGAGCTCAGACATCAATAACAGAGGTGAGTTACTATATGATTTTATCCTATCAAATTGCCTATATCTTAATAACGAAGGATGTTCACCAACTTTTGTTACTAGGTCAAGACAAGAAATTTTGGACATTACTTTCTCTACGGCTAGGCTAGCCTGACTTATAATCGGCTGGCATGTTAGTGACGAGACGTCGATGTCGGATCATAAACACATAAAATTTGATCTGGGAGCAGGAAATGTCTGCCACCCCACTACATTTAGGAATCCAAGGGACACGGCCTGAGACGTCTATAGAGTCAGACTAGGGCAGTATCTACAAGGGAGTCCTCAATCAAAACCACTCAGAGTCTAGAGTTAGCTGTTGAGGTCACTTCCAGGGGCATCATCAGCGCTTTTGAGGAAAGCTGCCCGCCAAAAATTCGGACCTCCAATAGGAAGGTTCCGTGGTGGAATGCAACTGAGAAAGCTAAGAGACAAAACTCGTTGGCTCTTCAATAGGGCTAAACTAACAAAGGAATGGGTGAACTACAGGAAGGCCCTAACTAACTATAACAAGGAGATAAGGAAGGCCAAGCGAGCTTTTAATGTCAACCCACTTCCCGGGGGCCTTGTGTGACACGTCCACTAATCCAGCAATGACGCTACATTCACATCGCAACGAAGACTGGAACAGAGACGCCAACATAATAAGACCCCGACAAGTGGCTTGGGCCATAAGCTCGTTTAAATGGTATAAATCCCCTGGTGAGGACAGTATTACTCCTATCTTACTGCAGCAAGGCATAAGTGTACTCTTGCCGTACCTGGTCAAGATATACAGAGCCAGTCTGGCTTGGGGACACATGCCGATGCAATGGACAACGTGTAAAGTTGTATTTATACCGAAGGTAGGCAGAAAGGACCACTCTCTTGCTAACTCCTTTAGACCCATCGCCTAACCTCATTTTTGCTTAAGGCAATGGAGAAGGTACTTGATAATCACATTAGGACTTCATCCTTAATATATAGTCCTATCCATCACACTCAACACGCCTATCAGAGTGGAAAATCCACAGAGACAGACAGACTTTGCTCCACCTTGCAGACAGGGTTGAAAGAGCGTTTGAGGACAAACAAATAGCACTGTGTGCCTTTCTAGACATTGAGGGTACATTTGACAATACACCCATCCATACTCTGGTGAAGGGCCTAACCTGCAAAGGTGTGGACACTTCAACCACGAGATGGGTACAGAACATGCTCTTTAGCCGCAGGGCCAGTATCTCGGTACATGGGGAACGGCTTGTGGCCTCCACAGAAAGCGTTTGCACGCAAGGTGGGGTAATTTCTCCTCTCCTGTGGACTCTTGCTGTGGATCAGTAAGAGTCCGCCTGTATAGGTTGGCTGAACTTTTGACGCTCAGGGATATGCGGATGACCTGGTGATCACAGTTCAAGGGCACTGCCAAAGTACTATATCATCACTTATGCAAGGAGCACTTGATACCATTTCCGCGTTGTGTCAAGATAACGAATTATCACTCAATGCGGAAAAGACAACCATTGTCCCCTTCACCAGGAGACGGAAACTAGACAAACTAGTGGAACCAATTCTTGGTGACAGGGCTGTGGGCTTTTCCGCAGAAGTCAAATATCT